CACGCTTGGCAGGCGGGACAAACCCCCTAGTTTTTTTTAAAGTTTTTTGTCTGTCGCCTGTTATGACACCCACAAAAAATTGTAAAATATCAGTGCCATAGGCTCCTGTGGCGGCGCTGTCACCACGCTGCAAGCGATACACACCGAAGCCAAAATCACGCTATCAAAATTCCGAATTATAAACAGTATGTATGGAACATCTCCGGTCTGAACACGTGCACACCAACAACCTTCGGAAACTTCAAGCTTCATCATCGTCGTAAAATACCCCACCCATTCGCTCCCGAGCAGATATCGTCTGCAGTCTTCATATCCTGCAAGCCATCTAGCTTCACAAGGTTCATCGCAGCACGAATAATAATGCTTCCTGTTCCTTCAAGCTCTCTCTGCGCTACAGTGTTCGTCACGGTTCTGAGCCTTACTGCTCGCCTCTGCTTCACGGCACTCTCGCAGATTACTTGCCTTCTCAACTCACCGCAGAATACAAGGCAATTTCCTGGCACATGCACATTCATCGACAACGAGGCTGCACTATCGACCTCCGGTCTGAGCAGGGGGGTGATGTGGCGGCGCTGTTGTCGCCCCTCAAACGAAACACACCGAAGCCAAAATCACGCTATCAAAATTTCGAATCATAAACAGTATGTATAGAACATCTCCGAACTATCACACGGAGTGTTGGCCGCTTCCCGGGCAGAACACCTTGCCCGGCGGGAGATCTCCCTTTTTCCTTCCACGGCCTTCGGCGGCTTGCGGCGCGACGACAGCGCCGCCAACTCCTATTCCATTCACCTGTTACATTCTATTTATTTCCACACGGTAAAAAAACATCCAGTATGTATATTGAATAAAGAAGAGAAATAAAGTCTTTATTATTATAATTATATTCGTAGAGCGACAACTTGTTATAAATATTCACAAATCCCTCATTTAATGGATGAAAAAAGGTCGAAACGGTGCGAGACTGAATTATTGCGTTCTAATGTAGTTACAGAAATCTTGATAAAAAGGTACAGTCCCATATTGTGAATATTTTATTTTTAGATTTGAAAATTATTTCAAATCTATAAATAAAATATTCACCGAATCGCGACCCTCAAAATATTTTCGTATAAAAATATTTATTGTTTCTTTTTTATTGGTGAACTATATCTTAGTCTTCATAGACGCGTCAGCTGGCATATATTTCTTGATAGAGGTGCCTACATCAGCAGTGATTTTGGTCTTTGGTGCGTTCGTCTGTGCCAAACACTGCGAAACTGCATAAGAGTATAATACATAACCACTCCAATCGATCAAGGCTGAATTGGCCTCTAAAAGTTTGGCGTGCTTAGTAGAGTAGGAGAGCATTTCATACCGCCACAGCGATTGCAACTTAATAGGCGCAAGTGCGGCCTCACATGAATTCTCATCTCTGGACCGGAGCACCCGAGTGCCAGCTCTTTCCATCGTGAATGTGCGATTTACTAGGAGTTTTCTTCCTTGCAAGATTTCTTTGTGGAATGATCTACCATCGGCGATTTTTCTGGACCGATACGACTTAGAGACCTTCAAGAAACGAGTTTACCCCTTTTAAAAAGATGATTTAATGTTGGCAATACCGCAGGGTGGATAGGTAGTAAAATATAAAAATCTGGTTAATATATTCGTGGGCTGCGCAGGCACAGAGAGAACAGGCCGGTAGCGGTGGAGCTTATATTCATAGTTGGGCTAGGGCTGTCGGAACTCTATATCAGGCAGAAAAAATCATTCATTTCATTTGGGTAGGATAAAAACCCAATGCGAAGTTTATATTTGTACCACAACTGTCCTAGTCGATTTTGACAAGGTTTACAACTTCTGTATATATTGGAAGATGTCAACTGCTTCAGATATTATAGCGCTCTTATTCGTTAGATTTCACTTATACCCGAAGTAACACTTATGCGATTAGATCAAAGGTGATGAATCGAAAAAAAAAAACTTGACCTAAGTTGTAGTGTCGTTGGCACGGGGACGCCGCCAATCAGAAAAATAAAAACACGAAAAACAACCATTTACTTTCCCAGAAATACAAGCTCCGACTGGTGTGCTCCGCGACATATCATGTACTCTGACCAACTTAATGCAACCTGTAGTTATATATTTTTAAGTTTTTATAATAAATGTACAAGTAGCGGTAGAATAAGGTTTTATTTAAAAACGTATGACGTGGTAGAGCTACACTGTGACGTTTAACGGCTGCAACATGAACGAGTCAGCTCAAATGGGTAAAAACGCTACGACGACGTTACGACGTAACGTTACGACGACGATATGACGAGGTTACGACGACGGATAAACGGTAGCAGCAGGAATGTGTCGGGTCGATATTACATACATGCATACTTAGTTCAAGCTAATAAAGCGTATTAAAAAGAAAATCACTGTAAAGGTCCTTTCGCCGTTTCTTCTTCGGTCAAGGGAACACTATATTAGACAGGTAGTAAACTAAAATGTCTTTAGGCAAATTAAATTTTAATTTCTTAAGTCGAAGAAGTAAAGGTATTTCGTTTCATTACTCTTTATAAGTTCGTTAGTAATAAAAATTGATTAAGTATAATCCGGCAAATTGCTTATTTACAACGTGGAATGAAAGTTATTCAATATATTAAACACATAATTTTTTATATCGTGTCTGCGATTAAAAGAATGACATTCAATAATAAATCTTCGTTAATAAATGTTTAAATGAAATAATATTTTACATGGATAGTAGTAAATACCACAAATGATTTACTAATGATGTGTTTCAGATTTCATTTTTTCTCAATTTGTATTTAAAAAATACTGTTCTGCCACCAAAAAGGAAACTCTTTGAATTCTGTCTGTCGTAAAGTAGGAAAGATTTCCAGTCAAGATGGAGACACCTCGATGGGACCCTCGTATGCCGGGCGACAATGCGCACCGAAGGCGCTGTTTGCCGCGGAAAATAGTACGCGCGTGGCAGTCCGTGATAATATTTCAAAAATATATTTTAAAGTAACAACGTAACTTACATAGTTTTTTGTTATTATTCCATATAAATTGATACTTTAACTTTATTTCATTGTAGTTTACAACAAAAAATTATGAGTTATTTATTATTTATGAATGGTTTTTTTCGGCATGAAGAAAGTATCAAATAATAAACAGTTACAATAAAATTAAATCAAATATATTTTTTCCTTTCCTAAGCACATGAATTATAACACATAAAATATAGAATAAACATGGTTTTAAAAAATGTGGTTTGAAAGTAGTCATCACTATCAATTGAACGTAGATATACGTTCCGGCGTAAGGATAAATAGCGCATATCTACGTTCCAGCCTATAACATACAGGTTGTTTCATTTTTCGTTCCATATCAACTGTTAATTTTGACTTGACCTGACAGACCGCACCTAACGTTGTTGTAGGCATAGGAAATAAAATTGTGTTACATTATGATATGTTTATTTTAACACGTGATATGAATCAAACAATTTTAGAATTAACATAGAGCGACGGGGACGGAATACTGGACTACTGGAGGATCGTATTTTAGGGTTTGACGCAGATTGTTCACTTCTCAAATTGAGTGTAAATTTTATCAAAATTTATCAAGATAAAAACAGACTGCAAACACTATGCTTTTTATTATTTTATAACGGTATCAGTATTTCTTTGTGACTGTTATAAAATTCACACACATATTGAGAAGTTCACATTTTTCGAAATGCACAATCTGCGTCAAGTTGACAATTTGCGGAGCGCAATCTGCGTCAAACCCGTATTATACACATCATCCAGCGTTTCATGTAGAAAGCATTTCTTGTGTATGATAATCACGCCAGCATTTACCGATACACAAAAACACTCGACATTTTGAGCACTTTACATTGCTCCGTCTGTCCGCTTTTTATTTGCGAGAGCCAGGCATCGCACACAGCGTCCCCTTTTATAGCGAACACGACCTTTCGATATGCGATCATCAATTTCTTCGTGTTCTGGAAAGTGTTCAATTCCATCTAACCTTTCCCCTCTTGAAAGTTGTATGGCAGGTCTGATGCGGGTTGTAAGAATATGTCGCTGCGACAACGCTTTAGCTAGGGCATAGCGATATTCTCGATGTGTCAGTTTGGCGAGTGATCTTGGGAGTTTGCGCGATATATTATAAAAGTGTTCAGAATACTAATATTTAGTAGTCTTCTGAAAACCTTAACGTACCACTTTAGGCACCTTTTCCGTTCCAATAAGTACATGGATAGTTTCTGGTCTTTCAAGTCGACCCCACCCATGTACTTATTGTAACTATGTACCACAAGCGGCTTATTGCACGCTACACCTGCTCGCTGCCCTGGTGCCGTATCAGCATTATGATAAGTAGATATCATAGTCACTAATTTGACGTCCTTCCACGACAAGACAGTAATTTCTGAGCAATGTCTAGCGACTATTTCATCCTTCTTTATTCGTCGTTCAACTAGAGCTTTTATGTCAGGAGGAGTGTCTTTTCGCCGCCGATTTAGCGTACCAAGTACATCAGTACCACATTGCTCTTTTAAAAATCGAGTAAGAGTCACACTATTATAGAAATTATCCATAACAAGACAGTGTCCTTTATGAAAATACTCATTCATTAGTATTTTCATAAAGGACACTGTCTTGTATAATAATCTTACTCGATGCTCCTGTAAATCCATGTATTGCTTGGTTTTCTGAGTTTATACCTTTCTTTCCGGAATAAATGGCCATTGTCAATAAATATCCTGTTCTAGCTTCGCACAGCTCGTAGCTCTTAATGCCAAATCGTGCAGCTTTGGAACGGATACATTGTATCCAGCTTAACCTCCCTTTCCAAAGCAGCAGCGATTCATCAAGGCTTAAGTGCTGCTCAGGAATATACATCTCCTTAAATTTGCGGTTGCAATGGTCGAGAATAGGAGCTATTTTAGATGTTTTACGATCATTTCCATGTAAGGTTAAATCTAAATAATCGTTATCTACGAAATGCAAAAATCATAGTATGAGAAGGAAACGATTTTTTGACATAATTTGGCGAAATTGGGGCATTTCTAACGTATCCGTAGTCCAGTATTCGTCTATTCGTCCTCTGTGACACAAGCCCATATAAATCATTATGGAGAAAAACTTGTAGAGCTCCTCTACGGTGACTTCCACCCAGTCGTTTAATCTTGATTCTGGTTTTATCCCAACTTCACTAAGTCGTCCAATTGTCTGCCATGCGTACTCGTTCGTTTCGCGTACAATTAAGTCCATGATATTTTGGTCCCACACAGAAGAGAATAGTTCAAAAGGATCAGTTAACGTTATTGTAGGTCCTGGTTGCTCAGTGTAAAATTCCTGGACACCTGTAAAAGTTTGAAAGTCACTTGACCAACTGACACCATCTGTCAATGCTGGCGGAAATTCTTCTTCTTCAATGTCATTGTCATTTGATTCCAAAATTTGACGAATAGTCTCTTCAGTGTATTCTTCAATGTCGCTTTCCTCGCTACCCGAATCAATGGCCAGTGCCTCAGTAAGACCCGTGGGTAAAATATCAGCGAAAGAGACATCATTAGCCTAAAAATATAAGTACATTATAAATTATATAAATGTAGGTAAAGTACATATCCACCAGTACATATATGCGGTTAGCGAAACCTACAGGCGGCCTAGGTGGAGCAGATTCTAATAAGAAATTCGCTTCATCAATACTTCGACTAGGCTCATGGACCATTTCATGCTCAATTGTTGAAGGCGGAATAGAAATTTTGCCTTGGAAATCATACTGAAAAGAAAAAGAAGTATTATAAATGGTCAAGATTCTTGTTATTAATATACTAGGTACAGTACATGTATCGAAATTTAATAAGTACATACAACAGAGGACCTAGGTACATTCTCGGATAGCTCTTCATTAAATGCAGCACCATCTGGCAATTTAAATGGCAATAACCTTCCTGATTCTGTCCTTTTCAAAATAACTCTGTCATTTGACTGCACTTTTATTCTTCCATTTTTGAGATTTTTCAACTATGAGTGCTGTATTAAGATTATCTTGATATGGTGGATTATTGTTAGAATTATTGTCTTTTGATTGCATTTACGACAAAACAAAAACTAGGTATCAATAATTACCTGCAGCATATGTTTTCGGTTTTGATATCAAAATACACTTTTTTACGTTAGAATTTGGTAAATACTAACATGAAAACTAGGCATGTAGGTGCGTAGACTATCCCATACTCAAAACGATTGGAAAAATAATCACACAAGATATTGTTACATATTTATGTTATAAGTTGCAATCATCTTTTTCAATAATTTCTATAATTTTGCTTAATTGTGATTTTTTATATTAAGATAATTAATAAAAATTATGCACAAAAGTCGCACTCATCACTTGTGAAGTGATCGTAAACGGCGAAATTACAATATTTACACCAAAACCAACTGATGCTTATCAATCGTCGTATATTTTGAATACTGTCAGTATTCAGGGTAAAATGAGGTGGTGCATAAACGTTGGGCTTCATATTGCACACGAAACATTTACTTTGCTTGATATAATGAGTTATGCTCCATGGCCATTTGCATTCATATATGCATAACGCGTAGTCATCTTTATTCAGATGATGATCAACATTCATAATAACTACCATGCTCCTATAACAAATCAACAAAGCCAATTATTTTGCAGATACGAATGTAAGCCAGTAGGTATATTGTGCTTTTTTTATAAATGTTTACCATAGTTAAATAACATTGCTGTTAATTAACATAAATAAACAACATTTTTGAACACCATGTAGAAACGATTTTTGTAGGGGATTTGCTAGTCAGTAAATATAAAAATTAATTGCCGACACTGTAAATGTTTTGTGAATTATAATGAAATATTCCAATCACGAGTAAACTGTTGAACAATTTGATGTATATAACATAAATCATAAATTTATAGTAACAAATCGTGAGTTTAACTTTACTCAACCGTCGTAGTTTGTAGGTATCTATTTTCTTGTGTAAAATTTATCAAAATCTTTAGTATTTGATACATCTTTATACTTTGACTTTTATATAGTATATTAGGACTAACAAAAACAAAAATAAACACGTAAATACTTACTTTAAAACGAAAAAACACTTCCGTAAATCACGACACTTTCACTCGTTATTTTGAACTAATACGGAACTAACTTCACAGATAAAAAATTCTTTTCGATTGGTTCATTCGGTCGTAATCTCATTCATATGGGTTTTAAGTGATTCAAACTCTCGGTCACACGTACAAAATTCATTTTTCGATGTCACGTAATTACGCGTAGATATACGCTCCGGCAGACAAACACTGACTTATTTTGAGCGTTGATCTACGTTCCGGCACACGAGCGTTTAATCTTAAAACAAGGCAGGCGGACTAGAGATCGCGCTAACTTTCGAAATAGTAACAAAGATACAAGAGGTCTCCGTGCACTTTTGACTATACTCCCCATTCACAGTCATCGATTACGTGTCCTCTTCAAGTATAGTAGATATTAAGACGACATTTATTTTGGGTCTCCAGCTCGTAGAGTAACATAAAATCTAAGGTTGGTAGTAAAGGACATCATTATCATTACCAATTTATGTGATAATTTTCATGACGAACTCACTTTGAGATTATTTTTATGTGCTGTTGGTGACATACGAGTATCCCATCATCCCATTACGACCTGTGGGTGATGTAAGTGGCGACTGAGGGAAATGCTTTCGAATGAAAGGTAGTATATAAATAACTCTTTACGTCAAGCGTGTAATAATACCCAGACCCGCGACGTGGGGCAGCTTCAAAGGTTTGAGAGATTCGGTATTACAATTGCCAATCCACTTGTCTACGAACGCCTTTCTTTCTTTCTTACAACGGGAGAGACAAATGTTGGCGGTGGACTTTTAAGGGCTGAATAAAAGGAAGGCAATCATGCACACGATGGACATGTTATTTCATAACATGTATTATATAAACTGGTTGTAATCGAGGGAGATTACAGCTTTTGATTATTGATTTTCACATTTGCTGCACTTGGAGCCATTTTCATTTAAATTTGCCAACCGACGAACATGGTTCTGACGATCGATAATTGATGATGAAAAATCCAACTAAAAATGCAAAACTCAAATATTTTGAAGTTTTACCTGTACAAAGATGTACAGGTATTACCGTAATCATTACAGCTTATAAAAAGTCCACAGATGAACCACAGTCGTTTTACTACCAGTCAGTTGTCGAAAGCGTCTAAACGAGGGCGAGACACGGACGGAGCGCTCCTGAACGGTTATTAGTCGTTCGGGAGCTGTCCGGTAGGTGTCCGGTAGGCTGATCGTAAATAAATTAAAATGGTTCACACCACGTGTGGGTTAAAAAATTCAAAAATAAAGAATTCAAAATTTTATAGTTCGATAAATCAAAATATCTATCAGTTGTACATTTGTAAATATGTTTCGATGTAATCTCCTAATAGGGAAGTAACTGCCTCGATGGTCTAGTGGTTGTAAACGCGACTACTGATCATGAGGTCCCGGGTTTGGATTCCGGGTCGGGCAAAATATCAGTTATTAAGTTTTTCTGTCAAGAAATTCTCAGTAACTACCCGGAGTCACGAAGTTGGCGGTGTCTCGTCTCCGTGCGTCGTAAAGCATGTAAAGCAGTTAGCAATCCTGCGCAAGACCTCTCTCCAGTCGTTTACCGTCCCATCAGACTATGAGAGTGAAGGTGGGTGAGGGAATATAGAGTGCACTGCGTTTGCGCATACACTTAGTCACTATAATCCTGTCCTGCGCCGATGGCTACTCTTTGTTGAGATTGGCCGCCGTGATTGAAATTCGGTCCGGAGGAGGATAATAGGGTAGTTGAGTTTTGTTTAAAACGAATAAATAGTTAATACCACTTGAAAGAGGGCTTAACAACTATACGATAGCTGAAAAAAAAAACTAAAATATGGCTGATATCAGTGGCGAAGCTTCCATTATAGCCGAAAAGCCGGGCTTGCCTTATTAAAACTGAATCAATCAATAATATCAACTAATAAAATAACTCATAAACTGTTTCAAATTATTTCAATTTTCCCGCGCACTCCACTGTTCGACACATGTTGACCGATGACCTCGTATTAGATTCGTATTAGCGATACGTTTATACAACGGTACTCTGTGGCGATACTGCTGCTGTCATAAAGTGAGTTTTAATGGAGCGATTATTTGTCTCCCTCGCTCGCGTGGGCTTTTTACGGGGCTTTCGAGAAGACGATCGCTCTCTTTCTAACCTATGGCAAAATATTCTATAATGAAATATAACTACGAAATGTTTATATAGCAATTACTATTGAGCCAACAAGCCTGGCTTTGCCATGAAGTTGTTTAGGAGTGCGTTAGCGACTAGCGAAGTGGTTGCGGGCTCCTCGTATGCAAGCTCACTTCACATTTCAATGTTTATGTTTGTTTTTATTGTGTTTCTTAAAAATTTATGCTTCTTCGAAGATTTTCAGTAAAAATGGGAGGATAATAGCGTTCATTGTGATGAATATAAGTGTGTTGAAGTGCTAATCGGAGAGGAAAAGGTAAAAATCTTTAAAAATGAAATTTAATATTCAATAAACATTTCTTCATACTTTAAATATAGGTACAGGACTCTTTAGTATTAAAGTTTAATTAAGTTAGGCGTATATAAAGGTTTAATAACTCAATATTTATATTACCATACGAATTAAAAATATCAATTTGAATAGCAGCATAAAGTATGAGACCTAGGTTTAATTTTAGAGGAAATAAGTGTTATAATCTTTTTTTTAACGTGAAGCCCAAATTTTAATTAAATACATCAAAAGAATACAGAAGATTGTATTGAGGTTTTTAAAGAATAGTACTCCCTTTAGTTATTTCCAGTTAGGTTTCTCTGTCTACTTTTCAGTATATAAAATTTTAATGGCGCCATCTACTTAATTCTATAGGTAACGTCATTTTATCGAACGAAAATTGGTTGATTCTCACGATGGTACCTAAAGATTACGCTAGATGGCACAAATATGTTATCGGCTAATTTATAGTGATATATGAGTTTAAAAATATCATTTTGTACGGTTTATTATGAATTGAAAATGTATAATTATAATTATAATAAATAGTCATTATTTTATGGTAAAAAATTAGCAAAGCTTTATCTTCTCATTATAACAATCTAATTCCTGTCGTAATCTGTTCTTTTATGGAACAGTGACTTCTTCTATAGCTCGAGATCTTTCAATGAGAGATTCAATGTCATTCACAGTATCTCTCGACAACCGTTTTCTGATTCTCTCATGTAGAAGCCCGTAAATCATATATAATCTCGCTTCCTCTGGTAACTCATAGGGTAGTTTTGATAACAAGGCTCTTATCTTCACGACAAAAATATCGGCACGCTCCAATCCTTGCTCGGCGGCAAAAATATCTCGGTACAACTTATATATAGGTCACGGAACTCCGTACATCGAGCGCTTAAACAAAATATAATTTCGAGGTTTCAGATCTGCCAGGCGTCCCTTTTTTAACTTTTTACATAGTTTGTTTGTACTTTGTTCATGCTTTTCTTTTGTTCATGTATTGTATTGTTTGTAAATATCTCAAGCAAACCCAAATGGCTCTTTTCAAAACCACCGAAGGTGTGCAATTGCATATTATGTCATACAATATATCTAGCGGTAGTATGCTTTCTGTGTGCTTTGTTAAACACGTCCTTGTCAGCACTGAATATGAAACTAAAGAGTGGAGACAGCTCAAGATTGGTGTATTTTTATTAAACTGTTAAAACAACAAAACCATATCTTGGGCTTGCCCTAGTTTGGAGCCCTAGCTTTGCCACTGGCTGATATTGAAGTACATACACATATATACTTTAAAATTTTCTTTGCCGTCTTCTTACTGCAAAATGGAGTTATCGGCAATATTAACTTTCTTCGACGATTACCTTAATGACGTAATTTTGTTTGTATGCCATCTTTGTGCATGCATCTTTTATAACAACTTGAAAGCTTCCACTTACATTTCAACATGTATTCAAATAAAAAAAAAATGTGTTGAATTGGTTGTTATTACTCAAAGATAGGTTATAAACTGTTTATATTGTGTGCGACAGTTGACTGTTATTCATTGTTTTTGAACACCAATTGTCTGTTTAAGTTATTTAATTTATTTCAAAGTGTAATAAAAAAACAGTTTTTTTGTTTTTTATTAATTTCTGTTGCAACAACCCTAGGAAGTTTATTGTTCATATCGGCTTTTCCGACAACATCAAACGCGATGACTGACTGATGTATGTTCTTATTAGACTGTGACTAAACATACGCCTCCCATATCTATTGCCTCAACAAGGGTTGACAACTGCAGTTTCTTTTAAAATATATAGTATCGGGAAGACAATGCTGTCAATCTCCTAATTTGTTTCACTCTGTCGCCTCTTACAACAATCACGTTACGATAAGGAGTGGTGGATATTTTTTATCGGCAACTGCACGGTCCATAGAATATTATAATACACAATAGAATGGCTGTCAACCTAATTTTGTACGAGTGTCGGCGTCGCCGGTAGCACACATACAAGCAATTACGTCGTATTATCAGTTAATCACTACTACAAACCCGATTCGCTGTGCTGATAGACGGATTTTAATACACATATTAATTTATAAATAGCGTGCAATTTGGCATTTTCTAAATAATTTGCATGCGAAATTCGGAAACGATTGTAACGTCAAAACACATCTCGTGTTGACATTTATACGTGTGATTTGACGTGTTAGTGGCATTTTAGTGGCTACACGGACTCCGCCCACTCCCCCGTTCTATTATGTATGTGTTATAGTATTCTATGGCACGGTCAGTATGATGACATAAAGTGACAGACAAATGTTAAGGAATTCTTTACTTTGTGTATTCTTAATAGGTTTATATCAAAAGATTCGAAAGCTATAGATAGCAAGAAAGATCATAAGCAATTAATTGCTGACAAAGGTAAGCGACCCTCAATTTGAAAGGACACTTACCCTAGATGTCACGTTCGTCAGATTTGGCTGTCACAGCATCACACAAACTTTCCAATAGACTAGATATTTTAATTCTACAATATTTGAGATGAATCTCCGCTGGGTTTATTAGTGATTTTCCAGGATGTAAGTTTTCTCGTAATAGTATTTTTTTTGTTTTCTATGCAATTTCGTTTAATTATTAGACATTATAATGTGTATCTGAGATCAGTTTTTTTAATTTTTACAAAGGATAATGGCGTATTATTACAGATACGAAATTAATTATTATTTTTTTTAAGTATCATATATTTATAATATTCGATATATTATGTTATAAAATAAAGTCTCAAAATACAAACTAATTATCTATTTGAATATTTTTTCTGCAATATTTAATACGTGGTAGAGCCACGCTGTAGCTATATTATGGTTGTGGCACGAATGGATTGGCTCGATCGTGGAAGGACCACACTCTTACAGAATACCAGCGTAAAATAGCAGCTTAACCCGGCGAGGTTATGGAGGGGTCAATTTGACTCTCTCAATTTAAAATCGAGTGTGGGTTTATTTTTGCCACGGCCAATGGATTTTGAACGTCTCAGTAGCTATTGCTAAGGGTTCCGTTTGTACGCTGCACACCGCTACACAGTCAGCCGGCGCCTGCGACGGGAGTCACAAGTGCGCGAAGTCAAAAAGGGTAAATATGACCCTGCCACAACCGCGATGTAGCACTTTTGTACAATATTTCGGAAGTACTTTGTTATTGATTATAATTATGTTTTCTGGTGTTTCTCAACGCAATGATGATTATGAGCGCATACGTCAGACTTCTTTGCAACCTGACAGAGAAGACGACTTGTTGTCTGACGGTAGCGAAATTGAGGATTATTTGAGTGCATGCAGTCAAGATATTGATACTGAGCAGAACGTAAGCAGCGAATATGACAACGAGGATAAGATACCACTATTTTAATTGCGAACTCAGAATTAATTCTTTCCAGAAGAAGAGTCGGATAGCCAGGTAACGAATTCGTTTTTATTGGCAAAGATCAGACTACTAAATGGTCGGAAAATTCTCTGGAGTTTTGTTGGTACAGTACGCAAAAATAAGAGACAAGTCCCAACGCAATTTACCAATACTCACGGTGCAGACATCCATTCATCAAAGTTTGGCTTTCAAACTTTGATGGATGTGCCTTCCACTTGTAAGCACACAAAAAAAACTAAAAAACTAAGATGTTATTCTTATGTGAAGTCTCCACCACAACACTCAAATCGATTAATCGATTAGAGAGAAAAAAAACCTGAAATAAACACTCCACTAGATGTTGCAGATGAGTTATCCGCGACATACCATGTTAGCCGCAATTCAAGAAAATGGCATCTGACTGTAATCTATGTAATGCTGAATATAGCTGGATTTAGTGCATGTATTATACACGGGTCTAATACACAGGTAATCCTGAAACGTCGCAATTTTATCAAAACATAAGGCCGTATGCTTGTTACTGAACATTTGATTGCCCGAAAGAAATACCTCAATTGCCGAGACAGCTGCGTAAAAGAATTAGAAAATTCGTTGGAGTATCTATAGAAGAACCGCCTATCAGAGTTCCAGGTATACGAAAATGGGTGTCAAGTGTGTCCTTATGCCCGACATCGGAAGACAGGTAACGTTTGCGAAGAATGCCTTAATTACATTTGCCCGGAACACACTGTTTCGTTCTGCCAAGTAACAGATGATTGAAGTGGGTAGTTTCTAAAACTGATGAGTAACTTGTAAGCGAAACTAATTGATCTCTAAATATGTACACACTAATTATAGTGGTTGTGAGAAATTTGATTAATTTTTTGTTTTTTGTTTTTTACATTTTTAGGATGCAGGGTCTTGCTAAAGTTGATAATTTTTAGTCTTTTGCTAAAATTAATACAATAAAAACATTTTGTACTATGATGTCTGTTTTTTTTAATCAAAATCTATAAAATAATAACCTATTTATATAATAATCCAGTATGATTTGTGAAAATATAACGATTTAGCTATCTCAACAGTAATAGAAATACAGGGTCAAATATACCCTCCACAACCTCCACGTAACTATTTTCACCACATCCTCGCCGGGTTAATATTGCTGTGTTTCGTATGGTGAGTGTAGAGACCCGGAGACCCTTTTTTACTGGAAACGAGGCATTCCATCTTAGTCCTCAGAGGTGACAACGCATCTGCGTTTTGGTTCTTAATTGAGGATAAATGTCTATAAGCCACAGCCTCCACTTACGATCAGGTGGACTGTGAGCTCATTTGTCACCCTTATTCTATAAAAAAACACAGACCTCTATAAATAAATAAATATATAAAAGAAACACCTTTGAAAAAAATATATGTATTCGTAAGTATTCATTCTTTACGTATACTTTTAAGTGAGGCTAATCATTGATGGAGTTTTGATTCTTATTTACAGAATTATTTATTAAAATACTTATTTTTATCTTTGTATGCAAAGCAAGGGAAATAAAGTTTAAGTCAGTGTTAATTGCAATAAGAGTTAAAATACCTTACTCTTTAGAACAAAAGTACTTAATCTGGTATTAAGGTAGGTATCATACAGTTTAATGCAGGGTCGGATATAATTTGCAAGGATAAGCTAAGGGACCAGATGGGCTAAGCGGTTTTATTTTGATTAACCTACAGGATGAGCCTAAAGATAAAGCCAGACAAGTTTTACGAGCGTTGATATTTTGAGTCTATTTTCTAAATGTATTTAATATCAGCTTAGGTAAAACGTAGATAAAATAATATAGTTACTCCTGAAAGATATAACGTGACATAACATAAACTCTCACGCCTATTTCCCAGAGGGGTAGATAGACATTACCGACTTTCCTTTAGCAAGTATATTTGTAATGAATTCTTTTATACGCGGTAATAGTGTTTAAAATAGCGCATAGCGCCATATTATAGCGCGCTATCTTCTTATATAGCACAGCACGTGCTGTGTAAGGCGTTGGCCACCTTAGAGCGACTGCGGGGAGCGGAGGCGACCTGCGGAGGTGGGCAGCGTGAAGGCGCTGTGCCTTGCCGCTGTAATATGCCACGTTGAGCCGCCTGCATTACATGTGGTTTTTTCTTACTATTTTTGCGCGTGTTAAAAATTAGATTTTCTAAATTGGAACTTTCATGTCTAGAAGGGAGTAGTTTTTTGCACAAGATATAACACAAATTAAAATAGGAGATCATAATTTGAACTAAAATAGGCATCAGTTTGGTGAATATCGTAGACAGTATGATGAAATACGTCAAAACCCACAAAACTTTTGAGGAATATACTATTATTCATATAATTTTCATGCTTTCTAAATCATATTGTAGACTTAGACATTATTTCGCTAATACACGTCTCCGTATTTATATTTTGCATCGCAGAAATATCAACATGTTTTGATTAATCCGCAAGACGCGAGATGAGAGATGTTCTCTGCTGCATCTCGTCAACGTTGCATCTCCCTTTCTTCACGTATTGTTATTTTTCCCGTTCATTGCAGACGCAAGACACGTTGCGCTAGCGTGGCACACGACTAAGTAGTCGCTACGCCATGATGCTATGGCACTATAGCGCTTTGGCGCTATGAATATTTAGCGGCAACTAGCTCTAGCAGTAGCGCTGGCAACTAGCTTCACGTGCGCGCCGTTGGGAGTGGAAGTGTGAGGCAAATTTGGTCTAGTAGCACGCTGTTCATCGCGCGCGACTTTAGTGTTAGAGGTTGTTTAGTTAGTGTATACTTATATTTATAAGTGATAGAAGGACACTATAGTCTGCTTCAAAAGTAGCCTAACTAATGTTTTTAAATCTAAATAAAATATAGATACAAAAGTATATGTAATAGTAGATGTAAATAGTTGACTTTTGAATATACAATCAATAAACTTTTTAATACGCCTTTAATTGATGTATAATTTATATGAATGTTAAAATAACGTTTACATCGATTATACACATTACTAAGCCTGAAAATTATGACATAGTGTTCATTGGCTTTTCTTTACTTATTTATTTTATTTTAGTCTAAAATGTAACTTATTATGAAATAATATTCGTTTATAGCACGCGGTATATTCAACGAACGACGTGTAATGTAACGTCCTACGAGATTTAGCGTGCTGAAAACTTTACGCGCTTACGCGCTTGCTGGCCACCCACACGATTCCTTATAAATAGCGTATTTGATAGCGCGCTAGAAATTTATATTTTATAGTCTGCAGCGTGCTTTTGATTTATAGCCCTTTTGAACAACTTTAATACGCGCACTACACTATGAATTAAAAAAGTTACGGATTTTATGGCGTTTAATTTATTTTAAGTATTGACGTATCGAGTTGATAAGTTTCGGCTTTTATATATTAATTTTCGTCCGATCTATGCAAAATGAGTTTACTGTGTTTATAGGTACTATTACTATTTATAGTGGTATGCTTGACTTTGGATTTAAGTTTATTTTTAACAGGATCCCAAGTAAATGGTAGTATCTGGCCGCTTCTCTATTAATATTAGGATGATTTTTAATTTAAATAGCCTCATGTATCATCCTATTAAATCGATGTTCTTTTGTGAGAATTTGTGGCATATTGGCCATCACATGTAAGGTGTGGGTCGTCTTGCCGCAATGCGTATTAAAGGACTTTGAAATTAAAAAATTACGGATTTTATCGCTTTTTATTTAAGCCTTTAATTCCCGACATTTCACATGTCATCTATTTTTAAACTTCCCGCTAAGAAAATTGAACATTTTCAAAAATAGGGAAGTTATTGGTTTCACTCCGAGTTCCAGGGATGGCCTGCAGGGTCCACCAATTTTTTAATATGCATTTATTTAGATGTTTTTTTAACGCAGAGTACATCAGGGTCTCTTGAGTCAAAATGTTTTTATAGTTTTGGCACACCTACTGACGGCCAGGAGCTTGCTTTTTGGCTAACTTTAAAAAAGGAGTTTGGAATATCTTCATCAATTGTGAACCGATTTTATTGATTCGTTTTGTTAAACAAGGTTATAAACAAATAAATAATACTTCGGGGGTAGTTTCAGAAAATTTGAAAAAAGGGAATGAAGTTTTAAGAAACTATTTACACTACAATCTAGTTGATACATTGAGCTTGTGATTCCTTAATTCAATCAAAAGAGTCAAAATTAAACTTTTATTAAAAATTAAAAGCCAACTTCGTACAACTAAAAGTAATAAATTATTACATGTTCCGAAGTACCAACTTCTTAAGTTGGAATACTTTATGGAATTACTTTATTCTTTTTAGTTTTTTAAAACCGTCGTTACGTGAAATCACATCAAAGGTACACCGCAAACATAAATATGAAGCAATGTAATCTATTTTACATAGTTGCCTCATTCGGCAGGCGGGTTGGTAATTTGAATGCCGCACATGAAATTACAAATACCACGGTAATTACAGATGCGTTGCCGGTATTTAAAAAAAGAGTAGGCTCTTTTCTTGAAGGTCTTTAAGTCGTATCGGTTCGGGAAAATTGCTGCGGGCAGCCAATTCCAAAAGGAAGTTGTGCGCAGAAGAAAACTTTTTTGTAAATCGCACAATGGTAGACCGCCAATAATCCAAGTGGTAAAGCAAGTTTTGTCGCGACGTCATCATCATCATTCATCATTACAGCCCTTCACAAGTCCACTGCTGAACATAGGCCTCCCCCAAGTAATGCCACAAAGCACGGTCCTGAGCCACCTGCATCCATCGACTTCCTGCATGTCTTACCAGGTCGTCACTCCATCTAGTGGGGGGTCGCCCTACACTACGCCTACCGGTACGAGGCTGCCACTCGAGAACCTTTCTTCCCCATCGGTTATCGGTTCTTCGAGCTATATGGCCGGCCCATTGCCACTTCAGCTTACTAATCCGTTGGGCTATGTCGGTCACTCTGGTTTTACTGCGGATATCCTCATTTCTGAGTCTATACTCAGAGCATAGCCCTCTCCATAGCTCGCTGAGCGACTTTAAGCGTCCTCATACGGCCAGCGGTGAAGGACCACGTCTCAGATCCGTAAGTCATCACTGGCAACACGCACTGGTTGTACAATCTAGTTTTTAGAGATTGAGGTATACCTGACGAAAAGATATGCCGTAATTTCCCGAACGCTGCCCAGCCGAGTTGAATCCGTCGATTGACCTCTCGGTCGAAGTTGGACTTACCTAGTCGGACTATTTGTCCCAGGTAAACGTACTCGTCAACAACTTCGAGCATAGTGCTCCCAACAACTACCGGCATAGGTGTGACATGGACATTGAACATGATCTTTGTTTTGTCCATGTTCATCTTAAGACCTATCCGTTGGGAGGC